ACTCTTGAAATCATCCACTTTCTGCTGATGTTCCTGAAGATCTTTGGGCTGTAATGCCTGAATGTCGAACTGATTCTTAAAGGTTGTTAGAATCTCGATCAGCTACCTGTAAACAGGTCACAGTTACTTATACCTGGTGCAATTGCCTAGATAGCTTTATAACTGTCTGATACGTTGATTCAGTGCCCTGCTGAGAATGACAGCTATGTCCGCCCTGCAAGCGCCAATAATGTAATTTTTCTGTAATGAACTGTATTTTTAAATTTCTATTTGACATTTGGTCACTTTAATTCTTTAATAAAATGCCAATTGGTTTACTAGACTCCAGGGCTTCAATGACACCCCTTCCTTCAGAGAGAGTAGAAAGGGATCCAAACGAACCCTTTGTTTCTATCTTCATTACTCACCCTGGTCATTGCTTTTTCCCTTCATTTATTTTACCTGCTTTCAGTTCCATTTCTTCTGTCACACTGCCCCTGTGCCTGGATCATCCGCTCCTGCATTCAAATCACATCTCAGGAATGCCCTTGTTTCCTCCCCTCAGCTGTCATCCTGGGCTTTGCTTTGTGTTTGTCTAATCTGACTTAGGCCCAGAGCCTGCTAACGCATATGCATGTGAGTAAAGTTACTCACATGAGTACAGTAACTCTCATGCATAAGTGTTTGCAGAATCCAGCATTAGACTTTAAGCTCCTATGGCAAGGGACCATGATTCTTTCTATGTTTGAAGCGCAAGGTAAGTTTATGGTGCTATACAAATGTCTTCCCCACATCTCATGTATTTCCAGCCTTTACAGCTACAGGTGCTTATGGGGGAAAGAGAAAACTCTCAGGTTAACCACCCTGTCCCAAGCTATCCAGTATCACCTTTCCAGCTGCCTTGCTAGCCTATCTTAAACACGGACTTCAAGGAAATTACACCAAGGCTGAATTTTGCTCAAGTTCTTTTCCAAGAATTTGAGTACAATAAAAACAAACAGTAAATAGCACAGTGATGACACCGGTGCTAATACAAAACAGATCATAAGACTTAGTTACTTACAGAATATCCTGTAATAACAGCTTAATACCTGAGAATTACAAGAAGCTATTGACACACCTGAGGTCACTTGGTGCAATAAACAAGGTGATAACACCCATTCAAAGCAAAGACCTGCTGTGGGAGGATGGGACTGGTTTGGCTTAAAGAAATATAAATGCTTTTCTCCCCCTGCCCCCAACCCTGTGCCCCATCTCCCCTGTATTGACCTGGACCAGCTCCCCTCACCCCCCCCCAACCCCTCCTCAGCCCCATGAACCCTCACCCCAGCTCCCCTGAACTGCCCCAGACCAGCTCCCCTCAGCTTCAGCCCGCCTGAGCCCTCACACCAGCTCCCCTCAACCCCATGTCCCAGCTCCCCTGAATTGCCCTGGACCATCTCCCCTCAGCTTCAGCCCCCAAACCTCTGCCCCAGCTCCCCTCAATCCCGTGTCCCAGCTCCGCTCAACCACATGTCCCAGCTCCTCTGTGCTCTGCTGTCTTGAGGCTCTGTCCCTGGTGGGCTCCTGCTTTGGAGCAGCCAGCCTGGCTCTCTGCCCTCTTGGATTCTGTGCTCACACTGGGGAGGAAGCAGCCATCACGGGCGGGGCAGGGAGAGGCAGCCTGCCAGGCGCTGCCGGCGGGAAGTCAGGAGACCTGGGATTTGCTCTCCAAACCCTTCTCAGGGCTGGAAACTTACCCGGGGAGGCTGTGAGGTGTGAGAGGGTAGACAGCACCTCTAGCACCTCCTCCTGGCAACCGAGCTATATGGGGGGCATCGCCCCAGAAGAGGACTCTGTGTGTGGCAGCAGGAGAAGAGTACAGTGGGCCTACTCCCCCCACCCAAGCACACCCCTGCGTCCCTAGGAAAGGGGGAGGTCCCCACTGCTCCTGGAGAGAGATGGGGGGGGGGGCCATGTCACGGCCTGATCCTCTTTAGGAGAGGAAATGGGCCTCCCTTCCACTGCTACTCCAAATGAGGAGTGGGGCCACAGCTCAGGAGTGGACCCAGGAGGCCTGTGTTGTGGTGGGCCTATGGCTCCCGAGTGCCTTAATCTGGCTCTTTACTAAGTAAAATCACCAAAATATGCTGCCAGCCTGTATTCTCAGCCCTCTGGGCCTCAGACGGCTCACAAGGCCTTGGATATTTTGCAGCAGATCAGCCCACCCCCCCTATGCTTTGGAGCTTGAGCCGCAGCTTCAAAGCTGTGTCTATACAGCTATTTCTAGAGCGCAAGTGGGAGCCCTGCTAGCCTGTCTGTTGATCTGGACTGAGAGACTTGCTCCAAAATGCTGTGTAAACATACTCACCTCAAACTTTGGTTGACCTAACTACAGCACTAAAGACTGTGGGTACGTCTACACTTACCGGAGGGTCCGGCGGCAGGCAATCGATGTTCTGGGATCGATTTATCGCGTCTAGTGAAGACGCGATAAAATCGATCCCTGATCGCTCTGCCGTCGACTCCGGAAATCCACCGCGGCAAGAGGCGGCAGCGGAGTCGACGGCGGCGCGGCAGCAGTCGACTTGCCGCCGTCCTCACAGCCAGGTAAGTCGACCTAAAATACGCCACTTCAGCTACGCTATTCACGTAGCTGAAGTTGCGTATCTTAGGTCGACCCCCCGCTGTAGTGTAGACCTAGCCTGTGAAAAAAACTGCACCCTGAGCACTGTAGTTAGGTTGACCTAACTCCTCCTTGCCCCCTTTCCCAGTGTAGATGCAGCTAGCGCAAGTGAACGATTCTTCCATTGACCTGCTAAGTACCCCGGGAGAGGTGGGTTCCCTACATCAATGGAAAAACCCATTCTGCCGATGTAGGAAGCATTTATGCTATGGCAGCACAACTGCAGTACTGTATCTGTGTCCTGTAGTGGCCGCAGTGTAGACATGCTCTCCCCTCCTTTATATGGCAAACGGGGACAGCATTTTGAACCCATTCCCTGTCACTTGCCTTCATTCACCATTAAAAGTGATATATTTCCACCTTCCCCCCTTTCCACCCCTCACCTCCCATGGGATTGTAGCGGGAAAGCGGGGAGGAACAAACAGCCAGTCCCTAGACAAAGATCATGCTTGGTAATAATCCCAATCCTCACGGAATCTCTTGTGCAATCTGCAGCTGAAAGCTACTCGGCTCGGGGCTTCCCTCCCTCTGCTTGTCCTACAGGAGCTTGAGTCTGGGACAGCCCCTGCAGCAATCTGATCTCTAGACTGCCAGTCCTTATGGATAAGGCCTCAGCACTTCACGCCCCTTGTATACATTAAGCAGTGAGCTCAGTTACACGGAGAGGAGTGTGTCAGGAGATCCCCCTAGAGCAGTACCTGTCTCAATGTTTTTCTTTCAAAAAAAGTTATTTCCTTCCTCTCCTCTCCGCTCAGTGACTTCCTTCTACCCTCCCTCGCCCCTCCTACAGGAGATCCTGCAGCTGCAGCAGCAGCCTCAAGCTGCCAGAGTCCAGCCGAGCCCTGAAGGAGAAGGCAAGATACAATATCTAACTTTTCAACTTCTCCCTGAAACCTTGTGGGTTTTGTTTTCTGCCTGGCTGATTCCTGGGGGCCGCCAGGCACAAGCACAGAGAGAGGCATTTACAGGCAGGAAACTGCCATGAGAGTTTGACAGGAGAGCTGCCAGCCATGAGCAGAGGGAGGGATTTCCAGTACTGCCATCCTTGCACTGGGAGAGAGAGATAAATAGCAGGGGAGCTGCCACCAGGCTGCGTTCTCATTACTTAAGGTCCCAAACAGCCAGCAACTTATGAATCCTGGCCTGCCAAGTTCTTGCATGCCTAGCCCTTACAGGGAGAAAAACTACCCGAGCTTGCCTTGATCTTACTCCTCTGTGAACTTCAAAGGGAGTTGGACCAGATCCCTAAGTTCAAAGTCTCCCATGGGATTGTGTCTCTCTCCCAAAACAAATAGTGCAGTGACTATCTAGAAGAGAAGGGAGACATCCATTGCAGTAAGATGCAGGTGGGGAGGGAGAAGGAATCAGCCACTTGAATTTTCCTACGACATTCTGACAGAAGCATTTTCATTTGAAATAGAATGTTGTGCCTGATTCTCGACTGGTGCCTTGTAATCATTTACTTAGTTCAAAGTGGGTCTAAAACTCTTCTGTTCGTCGATTCATAGATTCCAAGGCCAGAAGGGACCATTGTGATCATCTAATCTGACTTCCTGTATGACACAGGAATTCCCCCAAATTAATTCCTGTTTGAGCTAGAGCGTGACTTGGTAGCATTTTGCACCCACTTTCCACAGGTAAGAATGATTGCCTGGGGTGCATTACAGAACCGGGCACTGGCATGCTTTCCATCACCAGGTGAGAGGATTGTCACGTGAGTTGCAGCTAGTATTTTTCCTTGACAGGTGGAATTTTTGAATTGTTTTTAAGATGCAATGAGTGCAGACTCCCTCCTGGTTCCTCCTCATCCTTGGGCCAGTCTTTCCTTTCCAGGGAGAGAATGCAGATTGCCCCTGCAGCCCTGTGCTTCCAGTTCTGGGCCCCACACAGGCCCACCAGTTCACCTGAGTCCTAACCTGCAACAGCGGCTGCTATTCCAGTGGTAGATTCACCACAATTCTACCAATGCACCTTAACCCTGACTTGCAATATGGCTATTCCAGTCCTCAGGTCTAGAGGCCATGGAGGCCTGAGAAATTGAAAATAACCATGTTCCACGCACCATTCTCACTGTCAGAAATGCCCTGCCACCAGCTACAAATCATGGCAACTTCCTAATACCCTTTCATCGATCTGCCACCAAACAAATGGGGTATTTCCTCATCCCACAAGCAATGCAGGACCAACTCCATCAAGCGTCCTGAATGCACTCTGCAATCTCAGCCAGGCACCATGATAATGTTGCAGTAAGATTGTGGGGGTGCAGGGTTGTCTTTGACAAAAATTCACTGTATGGTGTTGTTTTATTTAATCCTCGTCTCCGATTCTGTTTGTTCCCTGTTTACAGGAAGTAGCAATGGCAGATGGTGGGACAGATCCTGCTGTGTTCACCTCCAGCACTCTGCCCTCAGATCCCCGCCTCCTTGCGACAGTGACCAATGCCTACCTGGGCACCCGAGTTTATAGGGACATCCTCCATGTAAACGGGGTGTATAATGGGGCAGTGGGGGACACTCACCGTGCCGATGTCCCCAGCCCTGTCAACGTCAGAATCAACGTGCCTGGTGAGGATGGACTGACAGAGACCTTCACTTTGAACACCAGGACAGGTAAACAGACAGAGCCTCAGCTCCCAAGTAGCAACTACGTTCTTGTGCTTTAATGTTTTGTTTGCCTGATTTTCTTTTCTCCTCATTGTCAGTGACTCCCTCTTAGAAGCCTAGAAGTTAAATCTCTAAATCTCCCTACCAATGTTTTAATTTTCTATGTGATCGGATCGACACAGTCTCTCTCCTCCATTCTTGGCCCCATGTTTCTAATAGAGCCAGAAACGAGCAGGGCTTTGTGTTTCCTTCTTGCTGTGTGCATGGCATCATGGACAGTGGTCAGACAAAAGCATGCATAAGTCTGTGCTATGTTCATAGCATACACACAGTGAAGACAGATAAAGGATAAAATATTCTTGTTGGAAGGGTTGCAATGTAACTACTTTATTTCTTAGAATTCAAAACAATCATACGCAAAAAAAACAAAACAGAGAGAGACAAAGCAGGCTGCTCCCTAAAAAAGAGAGGCACAACTCATCCCACCTTACTCTAGGCTGGCTGTCTGCAGAACTGAGTCTGATGATGGCATGTTTCCCTACAGAGCCCACTAGCCTGCAAGCAGGACCAGGAAACCCCTTAGAAATGTAAAGTGATAGCTTACACTTTAAACACAGTTTTCAGTACCCCACAGTCTGGGAACAGTGAATGGCTTCTGCAGCGCTAGCAAGGAGCGCTCACATGCACATTTTAGGGGTGAATTTCACAGAATAGTGGCTAAATGTCTTTAAAAATAAACACACACATAGAAAGCTGTAAGGCCTGATTATACTGGACTCTGATAACAGAGGACTTTTTCCACCTTCACATTACACTTTTAAGGTTGGTCAATTTCCCTTTAGCTGAGAATAAGACACTAGTGTTTATGCCATGTCTATGCACCTGCTGGAACCATGCTAGTAAATGATGTTTAACCATGACATTCGGTAAAACAGTTTATAACTGGGCTTGGAAGGATTCGATTTTTATTGATAAATGTTGATTTCACAGACAAACCGATGAAAAAATATTTCCATTGGTAATAATTGAAATTTACAGATAGGCAAAGTAGGAAAAATGCTTCTTGAGAATTTATCAGAGTTTGATTTAAGGCTATTTACTTTGTATATTTTGACGTGATGCTATGAAGCTTTAACTTTTTGAATCTCAGTGTCTCCTGTCATTAAATAATTGTCTAACCCTCCCATTTAAATAGATTTTAAAAATGCTTAAGAATAAACATTGATATTACTAGTTGAAATTATTTCTAAAAAAAAATTGAATTCTGACAAGCCTATTTATAACATAATTCCTTCCATGGCTGCTCTGTCCTGGTAAACTATATTAGCAGGTACTTACAGGCAAGAACCATGTTTAAACATTTTTGGATAAAATGGTTCCAGTACTAGTGTAGACAGTGGATCAGCCAGAAATAAGATTCTGGATCACAACATAAGGAATGGATCCAGTTTAGGCTCCCTCTTCGCAGTTTGGACCTAATCTCGCTTACTCTATCTCACTCTAAAAAACTGGCACTTGAGAAAGTTTTTGAATTTGGTCCAGATCTTGAAATCCAAAGTTTGGGAGAGTATCAGAGGGGTAGCCGTGTTAGTCTGAATCTCTAAAAAGCAACAGAGGGTCCTGTGGCACCTTTAAGACTAACAGAAGTATTGGGAGCATAAGCTCAGATGCAAGAAGTGAGGTTCTTACCCATGAAAGCTTATGCTCCCAATACTTCTGTTAGTCTTAAAGGTGCCACAGGACCCTCTGTTGCTTTTTAAAGTTTGGGAGAGTTCAGATCCAGTGTTTTGAGTACTTAGGTAGGTCTGTTTTAGAGACACTGGGCTGATTCTGCTCTCAGTTACAACAACATAAAGCTGGTGGGAGCGAGTGGAGAATCAGGCTTGTGAGATTTGGATCCAGAGTTCAGTTTTGAGGGTTGGTCCTGGCTCATTTCTTGCTTTGATAATAAATCACTGCTGGGTTTAAACTTACTGGGGAGGTTCATATTTCCTGTAGGCTCTATGGCCCAGATTCTCAATGATATTTAGCGGTCTAACTCCCATTGAAATCAATGGAAGTTAGGTGCCTAAATACCTTTGAGACTCTGGGCCCATGTGCACTTTATGTACCTGTTACAGTGGTACCTCCGACTGTCCTTTCTCCCTGCTCCGAACAGGACTCCATACAGGACAGGTCTGCACCCACCCAGATCCAATAGTAGGATCAGGCCCTAGATTTAGAGAACAGGCAGAAACATCTGAGAGCGGAAGCTCCAAATGATAACTCTGTTTGTGTCTGCAGGGACTTTCAGCCACTTGCTTCAGTCGCCAGGTTACACCGCCACCCACAGGATCTACGCCCACCACTCCCTCGTACACCTGCTGGCCTTCAGCATCACCATCAAGCGATCGACTACCAAAGGCCCGCCAGTGACTGTGCAGCTCCAGATGCAATTCACGCCACAGAGCCGAGATCTGGACTTGCACAAGGGGCAGGACTTCCAGGGAGCTCAGTGAGTGTGGTCATGGTAGGGTGTACCCAGCAGGGATGTGGCCTGAGGAACAAAAGGACTCGCCCTCTTTCCAACTTTCAAATGGGTGACAAAAACAGAGCTAGGACAATGGCTCGGGTTCTGAGAGGCATCTAGGCTGGAATGACTCTGAGCAACTTTACCCATGCTCCAGAGGGGCTGGGCCTGAGAGTCAGGCTCTTGGGAGCTGCCTCAGGCACTCGGTACTTTTGGTGGTGCCATGGCAACGGATGCCACGTGTCACAGCTACAGACATATCAACCACAACAGCCACTAACTAGAATGGAGGGAGAAGGGAGAGTCTGGAAAGCTGAGAGTTCTAGAGTCCAGCTCGACCTAAGTCGAAATTTCTTCAGTTTCCTGTTTGATGTTTATTTGATGTTCGGGGGCGGGAGGGTGTTAATTCAATTGACGGAGACAGCCCCACCCCCACCCCATCGGGTGGTGCCAGCCAGGAGGTAAACTTCAAGCTGTTCAGTGTCCCATTGCAGGTGGGTGCTGCCCAGAGGAGGGGCATCTTGCCATCTGCATTTTGCCATATTTTCCCACCGGGGCGTGGAGAAGAAGACAATCTGAAGGGGGAAGAGAGCACAAGGTTTTTAGGCTTGAAATGAATGAAAGTTGGGAGCCTAAATACCTTAGAGCAGTGGTTCCCAAACTTTAACAACCTGTGAACCCCTTTCACTAAAATGTCAAGTCTCGCAACCCCCCTCCTAAAAATGAATATTTCCAGGGATTTTCTCCTTTACCTGAGTATAAATTATAAAAGCAGCGATCTTGGAAATATAATTTTTTTATGACAAGCTTATTACACACTATTATTAATTATTTATTATTACGGTATTTTTATTACATTATGAAAACAGCAACACCCTTCCAATATCTCACTTTTGTAGCTTGTATCACTTTGAATAAGCCTGTTATAAGACAAGGCTCCTATGTTTCATCAAGGAGTATCAGATGTGAAACAGCATGAAGGTATTTAAGAAGCCAACTCAAAGAGTTCGTCCTACACAAGCATTCAGGTCTTGAGCAGTCCAGGCAAACAACACATGGTACAACAAAGCTTAAACTTGTTCTTCATAATAATTTTAAAAACAAAACTAGCTACCTATTTAATTTTAAAAACAGCAAAAAATATCCACCTCCCTTTCCATTTCTTATAAGGAGTCTTGAAGTTTAAATCTCAGTGTGATAGACATGCTTGCTTTGATCTGCTTAGTTCTTGGAAGTCCAAGGGCTCTGGGCTGCTGGCCCCATGCTATCCAGAGTCCCTAGGGACAGCTCTGTCCGCCACTAGGGAATTTTTTCCTAAGAACCCCCTGTAACATTTTGCGAACCCCCAGGGGTTCAAAACCCCAGTTTGGGAACCATTGCCTTAGAGGATCTGGGCCAACGAGACAATCCAGGGGAGGAAAGAGGGGGTGTAAATGGGAACCCTGGACTCTCCCCTATTCTGGGTCATCTGTCTATTTCCCCTCCATGTCTATTGGGCTCTCTTCTCACCACCCCTACGCTGTGCTCCACAGCTCTTGCTAATAACAGTGGAATGAGAGTCATGATACATTTCAGACTCGGAAGCTCTCTCTGGTGGTGAGAGTCCCACTTAGCTAAATGGGCCGGGGGGGAAGGAAGGCCCGTTCCACACAACAGTATGGGCCTGATCCTCAGCTACTATGAATTGACATAACTATTTTGGAGTAAACAGAACTACACTGATTTATACCAGCGGAGGATCTGGCCCCTTGAGTCATGCACTTTGTGACCCCTCTCTGGCTGCTGAGGCGAAGCTGCAATTTCCCATGCTATTTGCTGTATCTTGCAGATATATCTATGGGAAAACTTTGATCCCCGAGGTGGAGGGGGCTCCCCAGCCCACGGTGCACATGATCTGGACTCCGGTGCCACAGGCTGTGACCCTGCCAGGGGAGGAGCAGGAGAGAACCTGGGAGTTCCTGACCGCCGTGGCAGAGAGTGAAGAGGAAGTGAAGAGATGCTTTAGCGAAGGAACGTCCCTGATTGCTGCTGGCTCCCTATACTCCTCTCACACCCAGGCCTGGGCAGCACTCTGGAAAGGATGCCGGGTCGATGTAGATGGGCCTCTCCCTTTGAGGCAGGCCCTGTATGGATGTCTCTATTACCTACTGAGTGCAATTCCTCCCCTGGATTCTCCTGACTTCCTCTTCCATGGAATCAGCCCCGGCGGGTTATCCAATGGCACACAGGGAGAAGACTACTGGGGGCACGTCTTCTGGGACCAGGTGGGCTACAGAGGATTGCAGCCCATAATTCCATTCTGGGGATCAGACATGCTACAGCACTCCAGCCTGGGACTGGGAAATGCGGAACTGGGTGGGAGGTGTGGCAACAGTCTACGTCTTGGGAGGCTGATAGGGCAAATCTTGGACACCGTGCCCTGGGGTGTGTATCCTACAGCACTCGGAGGCTGGGAAGACAACTAATGGCAAGAGTGTGGTGGGATGTAGAACCTGCTGAACCCAGACCCTGTCCCTATGCCAGATTCATAACCCATTCTTGGCAGGGTTGACTAAGTATGTTTAGTGTGGTGACCACAGTCAGCTCAGAGTGTTTTCCCCCTGCCAGAGGCTTATATCAGCACACGGTTTTCTTCCTATAATTGGCTCACTGCATGGACTATTTTGTAGCGTGGGCAGCAGTTACACCAGGTCTCTGGAACTGGTTTGGGTGGCCCTTCTTCCTAGCAATCTGTGGGGTGGAACAACCTTACCCCAAGTGCTGCTGCGTAGGAACATCCTCCAGGCTCTCTGCCCCCCACTGGGGCACTATGGGAGAACTGCTTGGATTCCCCCAGAATGCTCTGATACAAACAGGGCTCGGGAGCGTGGCAGGTATGGAGACACCAACATGGGTGTGAGGGCAGAAATACTCCTGTGTGGGCACAGCTCAACCACGTTACTTTTAATGAGCTAAGGTGACAGTGCAACTAGCCAGTTACATGCACAGTTAACAGTGGTTGTGTTGGCAGGGCCTCAGCGGCTCCGGGAGTACGGATCCCACAGTATTCAGAGGCTGGGAGGGCAAGCCCTGGCCCTGGTGTTCTCTCTGGGTCCTGGCACACTCATTGTCCTAACCTCCCCTAGTTTCACTAAGTGTCTGACCTTATATAGACTCATTTTCTGTTTCCAGGACACGTGGGTATACCCAAACATCCTGTTATTTTACCCTGAAGCAGCCCGAGCCATCCTGAAGTACCGTATTCGAGCACTCAGTGGAGCCCTGAAGAACGCCCAGGAGCAGGGATACAAGGTAGGAACAGACTTGTCAGAAAACAAACAGAGACGACAGCCACCAAAGGAAATAAACCTCTTGATGCTTAGCTTGCTCTGATCTGTTCAGTTCAGAGGGTCATGCTCAGCCTCTCCGGGGGGTATTTTTTCCGGCAGGGTGCTAAGTTCCCTTGGGAGAGCGCAGCCACGGGCCAGGAAGTCTGCCCTGAAGAGATTTATGGAGCTCAAGAAGTTCACATCAATGGGGATGTTTTGCTGGCATTTGAGCAGTATTATCACGCCACACAGGTAACCGAGATGCGCGCAGTGTGGTGCAGGTATGATGATGGTGCCAGAAACAGGGCAGGCCCAGTGGCCAAATCTACCAGTCTACTGGGCAATTCCTTGGATGGGGTCCTTGGTCACTTTGCTCCTCCCCTCCCAGAGCAGATCGTCTCTGCTGTCCTTTCCCCCATTCACAACGGCCAGTAACACTTCCTGACTAGGCTCTCCACAATCTACAGTGGCCCTTCTTCAACGCCTGCTCCTCAGATATAGTTCCTTATTTCACTCTTCAGCATCTTGCTTTCCAACCCTGGACTAGTCTCTCTTTACCCCTTCCCCTAACTACTGCTGGTACAACCAGTTACCAGAGTCCCCTGGGCCCCCTAACAGCCCTGCTGCTCTCCTCGTGCCCTGAGTATTACATTTATCTTTCTCGTGTCTCCCTTGCCCTGAGTCTAAACGCTCTCTGAGTAGGAGCTAAAGAACCCCAACTAAAGAGAAGCATTAAATAGCCCCCATTGATTTTTGCAGCTGTCAGTTTTCTCTGTCATCCAGTTAGAAACCTGTCTTCTCAAAAGTGGGTGGGGCTGACATGAAGCCTTTTAAGGGTATGTCAACACTGCATTGTAAGCCCAGGGTTAGAACTTAGGCTCAAGCCTAACCCTTCCATTTACACACAAATCGTGCTAATCCAGGGCTCAGACCCAGCGTCCCAGGACCCCACCGGCGTGGAGGGTCCAAGCCTGAGCCAAGCTAGGACCCAGGGTTCAAGCCCTATTACTTTGCAGTGTAGACACAGACCTGTTAGACTTATGCTTTGCAAGACCGCCAAAAGTATACCACAATCCCATGGGATGACTTTCTTTTTCTTCTGGATAATCAGATGGACAGTCAAGTTTTCCCACACAGCACCACAAATAAAGGGCTAGAGCAGCCACACTATGGGAGGGCACTAGGACATTTGGGATATGGGTGATTGGATTTGGGGCCACATAAAGCAGTGTAGACGCTGGAGGCCCAGGTTGGGACCCAGGGTTCAACAATTTCTACCTTGGTATTACAAATGAGTGTAGATGCTCAAACCCCTAGGTTAACAAACCCAGGGTCTGCTAACCTGAGTTGTATTAACCCTGGGCTTACACTGCAGTGTAGACATACCTGAAATGTCTCTTAGGCCTGAAAATTACTGGCAGGTACAAAGTCCAGTCCACAGAGCTGTTTGCTTGCCTGCTCAGGGAACTGAATTTCCCCCCAATTCCTCTGGGAAAAGCCTGTCACACAATGTGTGCAGAACAGGACAGAGGTTCATTTTCTCCTAGAGTCTCCTCTACCCATCAAGCACAGGGAGAGGGTGGTGCTCCCCTCCATTGTGTGGAATTGCTTAGAGTGGGTGGTATGAGATTTCCTCACTAAGGAGATTACACACACTTCAAATGAGTCAATGGGCCAAATTCAGCCTGGTGCAACTCCTGCTGAAATCCATGGAATTGCATCCACTTATGCTAGTGCTGAATTTGGCCTTATTTCTTTACTGTGGAGGTAGTGTCTAGGGTGGAGGGTATATTGCACGCTACTGCTGATACTTCAGGGATATCCAAGCCTGTAAACAAACTCCACTGGGAATAGCACCCCCAAAGAGCAGTGCAGTATCAGTCAAGTGATGAATTGGACAAAGGGAATGTGCTTGTGCTGACGCTGGAAAAAGGCAAGGGAAGCAGCTGCTGTGATTTCAGCCAACAGGGTCAATGTCCATCTTCTTTCCAGCTCCCCATCTCTCTGGGTCTGGGTACCGCTGTCTCTCTTCCTCGTGGCTCCCTCTGGGTCTGGGTACCAGTGTCTCTGTTCCTCGTAGCTCCCCATAGCTCTCTCTCTCTGGGTTTGGCTCCCTCCAGGACCAGAAGCTGTTCAGGGAGGAAGGAGCCTGGGACGTGGTCAGTATGGTGGCTCAGTACTGGTGCAGCAGGGTGGTGTGGAGTCAGGAGGAGCAGTGCTACCACATCAAAGGTAATTCCCCTGCCTGGGAGCTGGTTTCTGGGAGAGGACTTGGCAGGTGAAAGCCCACAGCTTCTCCAGCTTGGCCTGCCTCACTCTGGCATATGGTAACAGCTGTTCTCTGCATGGGATGCACTGGCTCTCAGGTCCCCTGCATTCCTGAGCAGCTACTATGGGCTTAACACCCAGCTCCCACTCAGACCCAGCATAGCTTTACTGTGTGCTCAAAGAGTGGCTGGAGCAGCTCCCTTGCACCTTCCAGGCTCACCCAGTCTCCCACTCTCTCGGGCCCTGCATTGCACCCTTCCAGACAGGATGGCCATAGGCGCGGAGCTCCCCGTATCTGCCATTGTCGCTGCATCAGAAACAGATCTCATTTCAGTTCTGATAAGGATGTGCCTTGTGCTACGCGGGAAATGGAGATGTGGCCCTCATCAGAGTAGAAATAGGAGCAAGGAGAGGATGGTGGCACAGCCCAGTGGGCTAGCGCACAGGCCTTTAGCCTCTGCAGACCTGCGTTCAAATACTGCAGTGAGTTGCATGCGAAAAGGTGTTTTTGTCTCATCCTACAGCCCACAGGCGAATTAGTCAGCATCACCTACCCAACACGTACTTTGGCATGTCTGGGGGAGGTGGAAGTCTAGCATAGCATCGCCTCTTCCCATGAGCCAGAAGAGATACGGAGCCTTCTTCCTTCCTGCCAGCTCCAGGGACAATGAGATGGACAAAGCATATTACGCCTGCCATGGTTTACCCTTCCCCCTTGCTGAGTGAGGGGCAGCAGGCCAGAGGGGAAAAGGTGCGTCACAGCTGCCCCTTCACTCTGTGCTGGGAGTTGGGCCATTTGTCTGGGCTCACCGGAGAAGAAAGACCCAAAGGAGAGCTCAGTGTGCCTCAAAACCTTGTCTATCTCCCCAACAGAGGACGGCCCAATAAAAGACATTCCCTCCCACACCTTGTCTCTCTCAGGAGAAGGAAGAGTAAGAAAGCAGGAGGTGCTGCAGATCAGGACCGGGGTGCCTGGGCAGAGCTGTGTGGGGCCTGGGATGGAATAATGGGGGCTGTTGTGTGTCAGGATGGACGTGCATGAGCAGAGCTGTGGTTGCAGAATATTGGAAAATCCTTGTACTACCTACAACTGGCTCTTTCTTCCTGAGATCCCATTCACTGTGCACCAGTGTTTTAAAGAAAAGGTTATTGTTAATCTAAGGAATCCCCCCGCTACTGGGAAATTAACGCCTCTCTATCCCCAGGGATAATCTTCTCCACTCCCATATAGTAAATGATTGAACACAGTGCTAGGGGAAGGTACCAGATTCACCACTGTGGAGTTAGGAGCTCTAACTATTAATTCAAAGAACAGGTACCACGCATGCCGCTCCATCCACATCACCCTGCCAATGGGCCTCAACCCTGAGGCTAAGGAAACATCACTATGGCTCAGAAGGTAGTCCAGAGTCTGTAACCTCTCTAGTAAGGCTGCCAACACAGGTGCCAGTGATGTATACTTCTCCACTGGGAGCTGCACTGAGATCCCTGCTTGCTTCCCAAAGGCCACCCACTAACACTAAGGCTAGGTCTACAATACCCGCCTGAATCGGCGGGTAGAAATCGATCTCTCGGGGATCGAATTATCGCGTCTCGTCGGGACGCGACAGTCGATCCCCGAATCGACGCTCTTACTCCACCAGCGGAGGTGGGAGTAAGCGCCGTCGACGGGGAGCCGCGGAGGTCGATTTTGCCGCCGTCCTCACAGCGGGGTAAGTCGGCTCCGATACGTCGAATTCAGCTACGCTATTCGCGTAGCTGAATTTGCGTATCTTAAATCGACCCCCCCCCCCTGTAGTGAAGACCTGCCCTTAGCTATAATGCAAACCAGCGACCTCAAGGGGAAAGGTTCCATAGCCTCTCACCAATCCCCGGAGCAAGGGGTTTAAAACAAAAGGACAGGCAGTGCCCTGGTGTGACGTCTTCTCCCTCTTCCTCCAGGTGTCATGCCCCCAGATGAGTATCACTACAGTGTCGATAACTCTGTTTATACCAACGCCGTGGCCCAGAGGAGGTAACGCGTATGATTTCTAGAAACACTGAACCATTCTTCCAGACTCTGATCAGTCTTCCCTGCTGCTTAGCAAGCTGGCGGGTTTCAGAAGAAAGCCCAGGCTCCAGGAGGCATCAGCGGCTCTCCGAAGCTCATGCTTTGGGCCATGGTCTTTCAGTCTTGCTATTTCCCTTGTGGGCGGCTGGCTGGGTTAGCGCCTTTGCTTCCAATTCTTCTTATATTTTGCTCTGTAAAGCATTTCAGACACCATATAAACAGTCTCTCCTCACTCCCCTATCCACAGCTTGAACTTTGCAGCCGACGTGGCCCGTGATTTCCAGATCCCTGTCCCTGAGGAGTGGCAGGAGGTTGCCAAGAAAGTCAAAGTGCCGTTTGATGCAGCCAGGAACTACCATCCAGAGTACGATGGGTACAGCCCAGGTGAGTCGGAGGAACAGGAAGGGGAGGGCTGCATCTCAGCCTCGATTTGTCCTTTGAGGATGCTTTACAGCACAATAGTAACCTCGGATCCTGACTAAGTAAGGCTTAGGGCAAGCACTGCGTTGCTGGCCTGGTACTTTCTCTATTGAAGAAGGGTTGATGCTGATGCGGTGTGAGTGCTGGTGGGTCACCTAACCCAGGTTCTTATTGTAGAAGGTGTGGCTACTGAGCTGTTCTCTGCACTGGATGGGATGTTTCTCATCTCTGGGTTGTTATTAGGCTTGGAAGGATTCGATTTTTATTGGTAAATGTCAATTTCACTGTCCATACACAAAGTGATGAAAAAATATTTCCAGTGATAATAATTGAATTTTACCAATTGGCAAACTAAGAAAAATGCTGCTTGGGAACGTCTTAGAATTTGATTTACGGCGATTTCCTTTGTGTATTTTGACACGTGATGTTGACAGTTTTTGTTTTAATCGTTATAATGCTTTAACTCTGAATCTCAACGTCTACTGTCATTAAATAATTATTGTCTGACTCCCTCCCATAATTTCCCACAACAGTGAACATTTAACTGAATACAAATCTAATAACATGTTTAAAAATAAACATCAATATTATCTATCAAAACTATAAAAAATAAAAATCGACTTTTGCCACACCTAGTTATTATTAAAGAAGTTGGCCTCTGTCAAGATTTTCTTTGTCAGGGATAGGTCCATAGTGCCTGGGGAATTTGCCCTTTCCCTGGTTGCGAGTGGCACGGTTACTGTTTGAATGTTTGTTTAGACATTGAAGCTACATTTGCAAGGCTGAGCTCCACGGTAATGCCTGCAGCTCCCTGGTTCTGTGCATGCAAAAAAGATAATTGCGCACTGAAACGTTAACTCAATTAAAATCTGCTTTGCCACGAGAGTGCCTGCTTGGTCCTAAATCTGGGGTCATGCGTGTGCACCTGCATTTCTGTGAGTCACTCCATTGTGCCTTGTTTTGAGAAGCTGCCTTGCCTGGTTAACACCATGTTAAAACTGGGCATTTGGGGTGATATCCTGGCCCTGCACCAGCTTCCAGAGAAGGTACCTGCTAGGACCATGTCCATGAAAAACTTTCTAAACAAACTGGAAATCGCTGTGTCTTGATCTAACTTCCAGCCAGCCAGACCTGAGCCATACCCAGCTGATCTCCTGTGTCCATGACCCACCTTCTCTAGGCTTGCTTTGCACTTCAATTATAGTTTTGCTCTGTTGAAATGGCATCACATGCTTCTCAGTATATTGCATTAAATGACTCCCTATCAAATTAGCTTAATGTACTAGTAAAACATTGATCTTTCTAGCTGCCAGCCCTGCACGCTCCCCCTGGGATCTGAGATTCAAGTTGGGCCCATCACCTGTCATTCCTAGTTCCCATATATGCCCTGCCCCTCTGTCTGTCCCTTCCCCAGGTAAGCAGGTGAAACAAGCTGATGTTGTCTTGCTCGGATACCCAATGATGTATCCCATGAGCTCTGAAGTCCGAAGGAATGACCTGGAGATGTATGAACCTGTCACTGAGCTGGATGGGCCAGCTATGACCTGGGTAAGCTGCCAAGCGGAGTGGAAGCCAAGTGGTTTCAGTGTGAAAGGGGTGAGCCTCCTGCAGGGCTCAGCTCCTCGCAGTGCACCCAGGAGGCACTTGTTTGGTTCTCTTTCCTGCAGAGCATGTTTGCGGTTGGCTGGATGGAGCTGAAGGAGATCCAGAGGGCGCAGAGTCAACTGAACAAGTGTTTCAACAACATCACCGAACCATTCAAGGTCAGGCAGGTGCAGTGGGGTTTGCCCCCTACCACTATAGATAGATGGAAGGCGAGTCTATCTGGGCAGGTCTGTAATGGCTGGTCACAAGCGGCCCGTGATGCTGACAGATGTCACTCAGACTGGCACCTACATTAACTGTATTACCAGTTATTGCAGCCTCTTCTGTGTTCTTGATTTCTGTCTTGCCTACTGCAGGGCAGTTCACTACCCCCATCTCCCTGCGCACTGATGGGCAATGGGGGAATGGCACCACCACTCTTCTCCCTCTCCTCTCACCAGGGGAAGCAGGGCTAATGTGCAGGCATCATGCTCACCCCAGATTCCTTCTCCTCGTTATGGGTGGGGGCAGTTGGACAAGCAGCACCCTGCTCTGCTCTCCCGGCCAGCTCCTCATATCAAGGGTGGGCCACGGGGCCAGGGGCATTGCAACACCACCACCCCTCAGTGCTAGGAGAGGGCCCACTCTCAGCTCCCAATTCCCCTCTTTCCAATGGTGACTAGATCTCACCCACCATGGCTCCCTTTCTCCTTCTGCTGGGCAAAGGGCTGAGGAGCAGGGAAGACCTAAATAGGGTTCCTCTTTTCCCTACGGTGGGGCAGCAGGACTATGTGGAAAGAATGCATCATACCCACCCTATCCTTCTGTGGCAGGAGTGGGGGCAGTTCTCTGGGCTCCCAGGGGACCAGACAAGTGATGCTCATAATTAACACTTTCCAACTGCATGTAATGTTATGAAGCGTAACTAATAAATCCTGACATGGCCTAAGTCATTTCTCTCTCACGCGTTGCTGTAGATCTGGGTGGAGAACTCCGACGGGTCAGGAGCTGTGAATTTCCTGACGGGCATGGGGGGATTCCTGCAGGCCATCCTTTTCGGATACACGGGGTTCAGGTGAGAGCGCTAGTGCTACCCATTGAATTTCTTGACAACCACGACAAAAGATCTCTAAGAACCTTCACGTTTACATGTAGCAAGATGACTGGTCCTATGGCAAAAGCATTCAGGATGCTGGGGCTTAAAGTCTTTCCAGTCTATGGCATCATCTCTGAATGGAGGGTACTATCCTACCCACATCCTCTGACAGCTCTCTGCAGGTAATGGACAAACAACGACGCTTACAATCCCCTAGGAGCCCAGATGATAACTAGTGAATTGCAGAGAACAGGGTGGGATTTTCAAAAGCACTGACCTAACTCTGCCCCCGTTGAGGTCAATGGTAAACCCATTATCATCAATAGGAGCAGGGTCAGGCCAACACTGAGCCCTTCTGAAAATCCCACTCAACTTCTCCAATGGAGATTGAAACCCCAATAGGATCAAAGGATTCCATAACACTCCCTAGAGGGTTCCATGCCTTAGCCTCCCAGATGTTTACCTTAAGTATCCAGACCTAGCCAAGTTAAAGTAGGGGGTATCTCCAGCTTCTTCACCAACTAAGGTGGGAGGGACAAGGCCACCAAAGGTATGGCTACACTAGAAGCACTACAGCGGCACAGTTGTAGCGCTATAGTGTAGACACTTCCTACAACAATGGAAGGGATTCTTCTGTAGTAAATCCACCTCACCGAGCGGCGGTAGCTAGGTCAATGGAAGAATTCTTCCGTTGACCTAGCAGTGTCTACACTGGAGCTTAGATCAGTTTAGCTACATCTCTCAGGGGTATCAACCTAACTTTGTAGTGTAGACCAGCCCTAAGACCTGAATCCATTAATTCTGAAATTATTAGTTCGATCTATCTTGATTAAAAAATTAGTGCAAATACCCATAACAATTTTTTTTTTAAATTTTATAATCCACTTTATATTAATAGGCCAGTTTCCAAAAATGGAAGTCAACCATCAACATTAAAATACACTTTTAAAAGCAAACAAAGTAAATATCTTTGAATGTGCCCTGTATAGCCTTACAGAATGGAACATTTTGAGTAAGCTTTTAAATCTACCTATTGATGCTTTATACTTTAGATAGCAAGAGATTGCCCCTCTTAAGTAATGTCATAAATAGACTGACTCTTGTTGTGTATTTGAAATATATGCTGAATTAGATTTTCTCAAAATTAATGGAAATCACTGGAGACACATCACAGAAATCACTTCTTGAGGTGACAAAAGGCTAAGTCAGACTTCGACATTGTAAATATTAAAGTTGGCCAGAATCTCAGGGGGACTGGTCTCCCCTCTCAATAATAATACTAGCATCCTTCCCATTTTAAAAATGGGGAAACTGAGGCTCAGAAGAGCAAGTGACTTCCTCAAAGTCACATGATAAGTCAGTTGCAGAGCTGAGAAGCTACATCTCCGGAGCCTCAATCCTGTGTTTCAGCTACAAGACCATCTTTTCTCGCCTCGGATACTACTTGAGAGTAGAGCTGGTTGAACGTTTTCCAACAGACGAGTTTTTTCCATCAGAAAATGCTGATTCGACTAAATTGATACATTCCAATACATTTGATGGAAAATGTTTCATTGAGATCAAATTATTTCATTTCAACCTTATTAAACTGCTTTGGTTTGATGTTTCTGAAACAAAATTTAGGAATTTTGGATCTGCTGTGATATTTCTAAGTTTTGACTTTTTGTTCCAATTCAGAATTTATTTATTTTTAAATTAAATTTCCCACGGAACAGGAATTCTAGTTTCCAACTAGCTCTATCTGAGACCTCGCCTCCCACTGTGGGCGGGGGGTATCAAAATAACCCGTTAGCAAACTACCATTTTACAAAGCCATTTTCTACCTTCCCTTTCTCGTCTCTGCTGGGTAGGAAGATGGTGATGAGCAGACAGAAGCGCTCTCCTCTCTAGCCAGATGCGTCTCCTAAGGTTTGGTTTCACCCAGTGGTGTACGAATGGTTGGGCTGGGATATCACCATCAAGTGATTTATTGTGACATCAGGGGAAGGAGATTGTTTCCTATTGACACACAAATATCCTGGTGAGCAGCATTCAGGGAGAGAGATTACAGGAAAGGAACATGGCTCTGCAGGGGACTCTGTTCAATCTGTTTAAGATTTGCCAGAAGCTGGTAATAATGTCTGAGCCCTTTTACTAATGCAGTTTTTTCTGGTTTATTCATAATTAACTGTGGGGAAAGTGGCTGCAGCCACAAAATTTATATCCAGATACAAGAGACCCAGAGCAGAGCAAAGCCAGCTGAATCAATATTGAATTAGAGCAAAGTAGCAATCTGGATATCACCCTAATGACCAGGCACACCAGCCTCCAGGCTTAAAAACTACATCTTCCCCACAGTGACAGAGAAACTGTAAATAACTAAAGGGCCTAAAATAGACCACGTGGTGGGAACTCACCACTGACATCAACTTCTGAGGAAGGGAAATATCCAGCTGAGACTGAGAAACTTGGGCTGGCACGGTGAGAATGGAGCCAATTCAGTGCAAGAGTTGAGAGCTCACCTGACACACATGTGGAGTCATTTCCAAGTGTTCCTGCCCTATGGGTCAAAGCCAGTTGCACCTGCAGTAAGTAAATGGTTTAAAGGGGAGCCAGTTAGCTGCATGGGAAGTTGTGGTTCTGAAAAAAAAAATTGAACCTCTGAGTTAGAAAAAACTTAACTAAAGTCTCCTCAGTGGCCCTAAAAGCAGCACCCAGAGAGCACTTTAGAGTGGTCAGATCTGATGGATTTTCAGAGCTAAGGCCACAGCATTTATACCCAAAACAGATGTGATTCTGGTCCTGGAACATATTCTTAAAGAGCTTAGTTGAGGTCAGATCGAGTTTAGAGGCATTAAGATTCATACGTAGCAAAATACTTAGTGCTAATGAGTTGCATTCATTGTTGGTGTGTGTGGTCAGTATTAGGTGTGAGAAACTCCAAAGTCTCTGGTAGACACAGGTGTGAGTTGCAGGTTTCACCATCCAAACTCCAACCTTAATCGCCACCTTTCCACTAGTCAAAGGTATTTGGACTCCATGTTCCACTTAGACATGGACTCAAGCCACAGAGTTTGAATCTGAATCCAAATCTCCCTTAGAAAGCAGACTGAGATGACTTCCACCCCTTCTCCAACTCATTTCACATGGGCCTCCAAACAGACATCATAGAATATCTGGGTTGGAAGGGACCTCAGGAGGTCATCTAGTCCAACCCCTGCTCAAAGCAGGACCAATCCCCAACTAAATCATCCCAGCCAGGGCTTTATCACATTGGCTGCTAACAACCATTTGTCACTAGGACACTAGGCCAGAGTTGAACCAGTAACCTAGGTTAAGGCTCCACATGCCATTAGCATGCTCCAGAGCCACCCAATCTTTTGTGATGTAGTTCTGAGTTAAGCTGTTGCCAGTAGCTCAGGTGACAGTGCTGGAAGAGTCAGTCATGAGCTGTGGCACATTGCATGCCACTTAGCAACTGCTAAGGAAACTAACCAGCAAAAAGCAGATTGACTAGGAATTATTTTTTGTAAAGAACTAAAGACATCGTAGCCTAAAGTCCATCTCTGCAGTGACCGTAGAGAGTAAGAGCTACATGAGACCATCACCACCAAACTCTGCCTGGAGGGAGTTATTCACAGAAAGGGAACTGATTCTCCCTCTTCTACAATCTGCTGTGGTTTTTGGATTTACACAGAGGTTCCCTTCCCTATTTGATTAGCTGGTTTACTCCAGGTGGAGGTAATAGCAGACACTTTGCACGCTCAAGCCAGCAGCTGTGCTGTATTCTAGCAAGGCTGTTCTGGGAGATGCTCAGGTTCTCACAGCTGGTATTTGCTTCAGTCCTGTTGTTGCTCCCAGCTCAAGAGGGCATGTTGGAAGACTCACTGATATTCTAAGAAAATGACAGCCCAGGAAGGAGAATACCCAGTGTCTCTTCCCCCGTGGATGGAATTCACTAACATAGCCCCTGACTCCCCTCTGCCTTTCCTAGGATCACCAAGAGCAGCCTGAACTTCGACCCCATATGCCCGGACAACATCAGCAAACTCAAAGTCACTGGAGTCTCTTATCTTGGAAGCAAGTTGAACTTCACACTCACCAAAGAGAACGTTAGGATAAAGGTGACAAAGTCCTCCCGTGACCCACAGCTGGCCCCCCTGGAGGCTGTGCTGGTAGCATCGGGGCAGCGCATTCCCTTGCCCGAAGGTACAGTGTCTCCCCACTACATCACTGCGCTGTGCATCTCTGATCTTCGCTGCTGGGAAAAGTTAGGGGGCAGCAAGGCATCTGGGTCTCCCAGTCCTACACCCTTCCCTGGAGTCACTTCTGCTGGCAGGGCCGGCCTTACAGGAGGGCAACGTGGACGACCGCCCAGAGTGCCGTGGTCAAGAGGCAAGAAGTGGGGTGGGCCTGGGGTGCGAGACCACAGAAGGGAGCTCCGGGCAATGGGGGGGGGCAGCAGGGCCCAGAGGTGATGGGGGGCTGGCAAGCCTGGGGAGTCAGTAGGGACCTGGGGGGATGGGTGTGGAATCTGGGGAGGTAGCGGGGACCAGGGGCGATGGGGGCATGGATGGGGAGACAACAGGGGCCAGGGATGCCAAAATACAAGGTTGCCAAAGGTGCTGTTTTCCCTAAGGCCGGCCCTGCCTCCTGGGAAAAGCTGTGGCTGCTATAGTGCAAGCTGGCCTATGACCTGCACTCCTAGACCATTGCTTACAGCACCACCTGCTGGCAGAGGCAGGGACTGGACTAGCTGTCAGCTCCCCACAGCCAAGGCTGTAATCTCCTGCCCTCCGCAGCCCATCCTACTGGAGTAGGCTGGGGGCATAACTATCTGACTGCATTTCCTGCTTTGAAGCTGACTCAGTAGAACACCCTGGCCCTGGATGGTACCTTAACATAGGAGACTAAAGGGAATAACTAGAGAGAGGGTGCTTAGAGCCAGGGTCCTTCTCACAACTTGTGTGTTTGTTTGTTTCCATTGCAGGGCAGAGCATCTCCTTCGACACAGCTGCTGGCTGGATCCAGAGAGCACCCACCGAGCCATTTTAAGTTGTATTTGTCAGGGCAGGTATTAAAACCACCAAAGCTATGCAAACATGGCAGGGAGCAGGCGTCCTAGAGCAGCGTGGCCTGGGAGCCCCTGCTGCATTGTGGAGCAGACTGAGGTTTGGCTGCACAGGCCCGCTCATAAGTGACGTGCTCCGGGGGGAGGCTGTTTGACTTCCCTGCTTCCTTTGTGGCCAGTGAGCGGATGCTTGGAAAATGCTAGACCGAGGTGGGGAGGAGGGGAAAGCACCATCCTCCTGCTCTTATTGCCCTTGGAAAATGGTTTTATTGACAGCTGAATTTGATTCACCTCCCAATTACCTGCCCTTATTACCTCCCTGCAGATTTGCTGACCAATATTTACCCCTTCTCTGCTGGTCTCAGCTCCTGCAACATCCCTTTGAGCACCCATTTATGGCACTTCCTTAAGCTTGCGCCTAGTACCTTTGGCAGCATGGGAGCTGGGTTTTGCCCTCCGTGCCTGGTACAATGTGTCGCACACACATGATGGAGTGACAGCAGCTGCTCCATAGTTAATATGACATGTCATTTTCCATCACATGGTGAGAGTTTCAAAGGCACAAGGGGCAGCTAGGCCACCTCCAATTCCCATTTGTGCCTTTGAAAATCTCTCCCTAAAGTCTGATTTTGGCCACCCACCTAAAACCCACCAGATGAAGGAATATTGACTCAGATGGGTAGGTTAGCTCGGGAACTGAGGAGGAATGTTTCTACCCATTCTGAACAGAATTGCGCAAGTGAGTCCTGCATTGCAACCCCCTGAAAATAGGTGTCTGCTGAAATCCAAGAATTTGTCTGGCTTTATTTATTGCTTTGTAGCAGAAAACCAACCAGAAAGAGAGAGAGAACGCATAGTCTGCTAGCTTCCCCTGGCTGAAACTTCATGCCCAGCCCCACCCTTTCGCTGCTTAGTGTCCAACTCTAAAAGTTACTGTCATTCTGAGCAGGTTCCCGAGAATGGCACGTTGGCTCTGGCAATCTCATTTGGGCTCAACTGGGGTTCCAGACCCACTGGGCCTGACTCTATTCTCCATTCCACCAGCATAAAGTGGGATTATCTCCACTGAAAGCCAGCGGGTCGCACGGGCGCAATGGACTGGGGAATCAAACCCATTACTTGGTAATCACCGGCCAGGCGCTTGGAGGGTACAGTGCACAAAATGGAGACAGTCCCTGCCCCAGGTTGGTTACGCTTTAAAAGAGACGCACGCTGGGGAACCCAGAGGAGGTATTTTATTGGCTAATGTCGTTGTTGCTCCCTTGGGGACACTGCGGAAGACTGTGTGGGTAGGAGGGTGGGTCTTTTGGAGAGGTGCGGCAAGCGGCCCGCAGGGTGGCTGTTGGAGAGGCGCGGCCAGAGTAGAGCCCCACAGAGAGGCACGGCAATCGGCAATTGGGGCGTGTAAGATGCCTCCTTACCCCCCGCCCCCTTCCACACAGGGTGGGAGGTGATCTCTGCGGACCAGATCAGCTCCTGAAGTCTTTTTCCACAGTTCACCACTAGATGTCAGGGGAGAGCTCATTCAGACTCTGCTTACATATACACTTAAAATGCTACAGGAAGACACTCACTACAATGATGGGAGGGTCTCCCATTGCTGTAGTTAATCCACCTCCCCGAGAGGCAGTAGCTAGGTCAATGGAAGAATTCTTTCATCAACCTAGCGCTGTCTCCACCGGAAGTTAGGTCCGCATGGCTACATCCCTCAGGGGGTGGATTTTTCACACACCCCCTGAGAGAGGTGGCTATGCCGATATAAGTTTTCAGTGTAGGCCAGCCCTGAGAGTAATCATACAGGACCGCAGGGGCTCTTTCCTATCTACTCTCCATAGGGTTAGTGGGAGGGCTGCCGTGACTCACCCAGCCCTGATCCAGCCACTCTTTCCTGGGCTGCAGATACCTTCCCTTTTCTGCACAGGTGGGGTGAAATCCATATGTAGATGTTCCCTTCCATGCATAGAACAAGGGGGTACAATCTGGCCCAGAGGGTAGTAATAAAACTGCCCCTATTTGAATTTGCCCTGAGTGACAATAGCACAGTTCCAGGCTTTCCTTTTCTCCATGTGATATAAAGGCAAGGAGAGCTTCTCTCTGTTTCTTCAGAATCTCCAGACAACCCCAGATATGTTCCTAAGGGAAAGGAAGGGAAATGGTTCAATCTGGTTTTTCTTTTCTAGGTTGGTCTCTCCCACCCCCTCAAAACAAAACATTACACTGTTGCCTGGATTCCATTTAAGTTGTGCTTTAGCTCTATCCCATTTATTAAACCAACAGGAAAACTAACACTGATCCCAGGAAACTTCCAGCTGCTGGAAGAGATCAGGTTCAATCAGTGTTGCAAACTCATGGTTGTATTCTGAGTCTCGCAGTAGCTGATGGTTTTCTTAAAGCCCCAGCTCCTGGAGTCAGGTGACTATGTGAGACTTACAGCTTTCATTAAAAACAAAAATATATGTTCCTCGCCCACATGTCCACGGACCAAAGCTTGGAAACATGAACCCTAAAGCCTCAAAAGCCAGAAGGCAAATAAAGGGACCCAATATTTATTGTTTTTAAATGTCATGATTTCTGAGCCAATCTTATGATTTTGGGAGGCCTGACTCGTGAGTTCTGAATTCTTAGAATTGGTAATACTAGCGGCTTCTTATACCAGTCAAATACTACATCCAAATGCCAAGGTGCATTAGGTGAGGGGTTCTAAATGCAACTAGAAACAATATAAATTAATATTAAAAAGTCACTATGTAAAGATAACATCGCTGGTTCAGGACAATACAGAGCAGTTTCCTGCCTTGTATTCCTGGGCAGCCTCCTCTACTGGAATCACATTGTGAGACCTATGCTCCTGGGATCTATCACAAACCACACAGATTGGGATTTGATACTCTATGCAGAACAGTCTCAAAGCCTCCTTGTGTTTCTCACAGTTTCCTCCCCATCCTGGCTCTCTCTGTGTTCATAACCCGAAACACTTAATTAGTTCTGTGGTGTTTGCCAGCTGCCTGTCTGGCCTGAAGTTCCTCTGGGGATTAAACACCTCTGCACTGAGGACAGGAGTAGCTTGGCCCTGATCCCCCCTGCTCCCCAGAACTGGGTGATGCAGGCTCGGCAGAAATTGTGCCCACACTCTATGGGCCTGTAAAATACACCAGGCAGATGGGACAGGCAGCTTCCTCCTGCAGACTCTCAGGGCTCACAGCAGCCATGGTGCCCAAAGAAGGTTAGTTTCACTTTCCTGTGCTCAGCCTGTAGCAATAACACAGGGCTTTTCCCTCCCTGAAACAATCCTTTGTGCACAGAGTTACAAGCTGTGGCGGTATCTGGGCCCCTCTCTAGAGGCTAAATCCTGCAAGTCGCTGAGCACTGTAGCTCTGCTTCAGCAAAACACTTAAGCACTTGGTTAACGTGAAGCCTGTGAGTCATCCTAGTCTGAAGGGCCCACTCCTGCTTTGCTGGACAAGGGTGCTCAGCGCTGTGCAGAATTGAACCCTAGCTAAGGAGAAAGGTGCCAAATGCTCTTCTCCAGCAATTTCTGCAGCTTGTCTTCTGACCAGCGGTGAGTCCTCCCCTAGACACTAGGGCCCAGATCCCCAAAGATATTTAGGCTCAGAACTTTCCTTTAAGGATCTGGGCCTAGGGCCCTCCTGAAGCTGAGGTTCACTGAGCAAGGCCTAGGTCCCCCTAGAGGAGTGAGGGGGTCTTGCGCCCTCAGACATGGCAGGCTCTTCTCCAGAGACAGCAAGTGTTTTGGAGGGCCCCAGAGAGGCCTTGTGTCTTCCCCTCTTAGCCTTAGAAAGCTAACAAAATGGCCACCAGAACCACAGATGAGGAACAGAATCCACTTGAGAGCTATCAAGGGCCAAAAATAGCATCTGAGAAAGGAACTGAAATTACAGCATGTGTGGGTGCGAGAGTGGGTGAGTGTGAGAGAGGGGGTCACAGCCATGTGGGTTCCTAGGAAATCAAAAAGCAATTCCCATCTGTCCCTGTGGTTGGAGGCAGCAACACCCAGGGAATTCCTTGGTCCCAGGCAGACAGAGTGCTGCAGAGGCAACAGCTCACGCCTACCAGGAGGAGAGGACTTCATGTCACGGTGGGTGTTGCACACAGTGTTACAGACTCCAGGGAGTGCTTTGAGAACAGGCAGAGCAAAGAGGGGGGACCGAGGGGCCCCCGGAGAGCACACAGAACCACTCTGCCCCTGAAATGTTGTTGAGTTACATCCCCCTGAAAAGAAAGGGTTAACAATGCCCTGGGCACATTGTCACAGCTGGAAACTCAGCAACACTGCTGAGCCCTGCTGCTATCCTGTTGTATCTAGGTACAATGCCAACATGTTTTTGGTCTGTACTGACCCTCCTGCTTCCTTCTATCCTGGCCAGCACCGACTAATGCCTGATTTAATGGACCTGATCAGCTGAGCCCCGGGCTTCAAAGGGCCCCCCATACTTTCCCCCCAGCATGCTCTCTGATTTTGTTTTCCAGCAGCAAAGCAGCACCCCCTCTCCTTGCCCTGCAGAGCAATTTGGGGGACCTGAGCTAGAATCACCAGTGCCCTGTGCCTTGGATAAGATCCACCCTTATCCAGAGCCTTTTGTGGCCACTTATCAGGGCAAACCAGACCAGTTTACACCCACTGTGCATGGGTATAAATGTCTATGTAAGGTGCAGAGCAATGAGGAATCAGAACCCCTGTACTGTGGATTAATCTGAGCCATGTTAAATATTCACCCTTCCCTCATCCTCCCCTGAACCTTCATGTTGCCAGCCCTGCTCCAGAGACTGGGCCAAATTTTGCTCCCTGGTGTGAATCCAGAGCAACCCCGTTAAAAACCCCGTGTACTGCAGATACTGTGTGCGGCTAAGCTGAGAATGCCCCATTGTCTTCAGCAGTGCAAAGGGCTAGGAGGGGAAGCACACAGAACTTGCAGCTTGAGACAGATGGAGGAACGGCCTGCTGGGTCCTATATCTCCTGGATCCCTGCACAGTGCACATTCACCCTAAAGCACCAGGTCCCCTTCCAGCTATGTCACTGCATGCAATTGCTATCAGCATTTGTTGTACTTCTTCCTCTTTTGAGTGCAGGCTCAAGGGCCATCTCTCTCTCTCTCTCTACCTTTCCTCCCCATCTCCCACTCTTAATGTTTCAAACCAGAGCATTTTAAAGCCACTCCCTGGTTTGGCAAGATGCCGTCCTGTGTAAACAAAACCCAGAAGCCTCAAACTAACCTCGATGGAGTTTATAAAAAGCCCCAGAGCCTCTTCGTGCCACCAGCAGCATGTGGCAATGTTTAAGGAGGGAGAAAATAAGAGTGCCTGCCTTGTAATTAGGCTGGCTGTAAATTAGGTCCTGTCAGAGCAGCACAGCCACTAATCAGCACTGGGCTGCTAGGCCAGGGCGGGGTGGGAGGAGGCAGCCCCCCTGATAACAGCCCTGAGGGCCTCGAGGTTTCAATCCATGCTTAGATCCTGGAGGAAAGTATTTGAGAAGGAATTAAAATAACCTGCTCTAGACAGGGCAGGGAGTCATGGATTCCCAGCTCCCTGCCCCATTGGGGGAGAGCAGCAGAGACAGGATGGAGCTCCCTCTTCTCAGAGAGCCTGAGCTGTAGATCCCCTCTGCCAGCTGACCCCACTGGGGCCCTGGGAACACTCCCCTTCCAGAGCCCAGGGCCACTTCCCGAGCCCAGGGCCACTTCCCGTCAGGACAGCCTCGGCCCGGCTCCTGCCGGGATAGCCAGTGGCAGGCTCCCCTGGGACAGCGCAGCTGGCAAGGGTCCCTTTGGAATCTCAGCGGCTTTCAGGCCAGCTCCTGCCACCCTTTGTCACACTGAGCAGGAATCAACAGGGCCTCTTGCAGAGTAAGGCAGTGCTCGGTGTGCATCACAGCTGCATAATGGCTGCTGGTGTGCAGAGACCACGGCCTACCATACTGACCAGTAGTGTCTCATTGGTTTTTTGGACTTCCCCGTCTGTCTGTATCCATCTGTGGTCTCTTGTCGTATAGTTAGATTGTAAACTCCTTGGGGACGGGACCATCTTTTGGTCTGGGGCTGTACAGTGCCCAGCACAGTGGAGGCCAGGGCCATGACTGGGACACGCCGATATTATAAATAATAAAGAATAGTACTCCCCAAATGAGCCCAGTCCTTACCCCAAATCAGACCAGGATTCACCAGCTCCACTGGTGGCAGCAGCAACGGAAGCTGGAGTATAAACAGGAGTCAGCCAGCTTGTCCTGATCTCCTGGGGAGATCGTGCAGCTCCACCCCTTTCCAACAGCAGGAGCAATATTGGCCATGGGGCCCAAAGCCTAAACCCCTCTTGGCTGGGCCCCACCCATCCTCTGAATGAATCACCCGATAGACTGGGGCTGCACCAGCATACGTGGT